AGTGAGTGAAATTTGCCCCTGCCCCACCAAAGCGCCTGGTTAGGTCCAGTACCTGTGCACCTGCAAAGGGGCCAGGGAAACTTTCCTGCTTCAGAAGCAAAGCTGTAGCTCATACTGAGGTACCTGGTAGATGTTTGCCAAGAATGCCTGAGAGCCTTTTGTGTATTCAGTTGAGCTGGGTAAGGTTTTCAGCATTTACCTAGCATTTCTGGTGAACAAAACTGTGTATAAGCAAAGGTAAAATTTGAGGTAGGGTCAAATTGTTCCCTAATGTACCAATTAGGACCAATTTGCATTTCCAAAGCAAGCACTATAACAGAATTGACTTTGCAAGAAAATTCTGACCCCGAAGAAAAAGAATCCAAATAAAGTAGACAGAATATTTGGATATTTATCCAAATAAAGTAGACAGAAATTATGGGTCACCACAGCAGTGATAGTGAGGATTTCTGATATATTTATGCTATACTTCATTTAAAAGGCAGAAATCACTCAGTTGATACTAGCCATTATTTAGAGAACTAAAAGGTGAAGATACTCATGTTACATTAGGTGAGGAGTAAACCAGAATGTAAAAGTGTACATCCATTATGCTCACGGTTATACATACAAAAAGCCTAAAAAAACAAACTGGAAGTAAAAAGTAAAAGCAATGTTAACAGTGCTTGACTTAGATTTTGGTAAGATTTTCTAATCCTAACTTTCTTTATTTCTTAAATCTTCTAGTGGGTATGCATTACTTTTTAAATGGAGAAAACAATGTTTAAGTTGTATAATGTTTCTATCTTGATCATATGCAGTAGTTGCAAAAAGTATTAAGGAAAGAAAAGTCCTGACGAAGTTACATGAACTATAAAACTATAATAATACTGTGAAACACTGCAGATATGAAATAGGGCTTAACATCAAAATTTTGGCTAAGATAAGGTTAATATTTTCTGACATTCATATCTTGATGTGTCTATGCTCTTTATAAAAACAAAAACTAGTAATATTTCCTCTTTCTGCTCAGATGGAATGTGGTAAAATAGTTCACTGAAGTAAACAAAGCCTTTTTCCTCATCTGTGAAAGACATGCCTGCCCTGGCTGTCACCTGATGAGGCTAACTATCAGGTAATGTATGTGAAAGTGCTTTAAAAACTACTAAACCTATTAAGGTTACTTGGAGGGGAGGGGGTAGGTAGAGAAGTGCTGAGAAGCACTTATTACTTTGCATAAATGTTGCTTAATAAAATAATACTGAATTAAGCATATTTGTGAAAACAAGAGCCAGTTAATAACTAACTGAATGGTAAAACACTGTTTGTCTTGTTTCCCCTGTTGTTTGTTTTATTTAGAGTTGGGATCTCACTGTCTCCCAAGCTGGAGTGAGGTGGCACCAATCATGGAAGACTCTGGGGCTCAAGTGAGTTCCCATCTCACACCTCAGCCTCCACTGCAGCTAGGACTACAAGTGCTTACTACAAGCACCCAACTAATTTTTTTCTTTTTCTTTCTACTTTTTTAAGAGATGTTGTCTTGCTATGTTGCCCAAGCTGGTCTCAAATTTCTGGCCCTCAAGTAATCCTCCACCTTAGCCTTCTGAGTTGCTGGGATTACAGGCATGAGCCACTACACTAACTTCACCTGTTATTTATGAATAGTAAGTTGCATACCCTGGCTAATCCTGCCCTTTATAAGTCCTTAAGACTGTCTTGCCTTTTCTTTTCTTTTTTAAAAGTTTTTAACCAATGCACTATAAATTTACTTTCCAAATAAAAATTTTGTTAAGAAAATTACACATTGAGGCTAGGCACAGTGGCTCATGCCTCTAATCTGAGTACTCTGGGAGGCAGAGTTGAGAGGATCACTTGAGTTTGAGATCACCCTGGGAAACACGGAGAGATCCTGTCTCTACCAAAAATTTAAAAAAAAAAAAAAAAAGAAAAGAAAAAGAAAATTACACATTGAAAAAAAAAACCCCACAAATTCATAACACCAATCCACCTTTACTAAATCTTGAGTTTCAGAAATTACATAACCCTCACCTTCAAATAGTTCCCTACAGTTAAACACATTTTTATAAGGAAAACCGGGAATATGTAAGACACATTCTACGTAAGTCAATTCAAGTTTAAAAAACAGCATAATTAGACTGAGCATGTAACAGACTCAAGGCTAAAAGTGTACATTCTTATTTGTGAGAAAAATTAAGTATTTAATTCATAACTTATAAGAGCATACACTCAAATGAATCTTCTGGGTGTTTGAACCTTCTAATGACTTTAAGAGTTATTTCTAGTTATATAAAATTTATATATATATTTATATATAGATCTTATATCTATTTATATGTAAATCTTATATATATGTATTTTATATAAATATACAATATATAATTTACATATTATATATAATTTCTCATGTTATTTAGTTTACTGAAAATATTTTCTATTTTCAGTTATATATATAAAAACTAAGCTACTAGGTTTACTGGAAATATTTTCTTACATGAGATGCCAAATTTCTTTTACTCTATTCTCCCTTTTCTTCATTCCCATTAGTCAGCAGACACCTTCACTAAGAAACATCTATTCTCCAGTCATTGCTATAACTTGCTGACAGATTAATGAAAATAACGAACTGTTGATATAAAATGTAACACACTTCTACTAGATAAGAGATAATTTCATATATAGACTCTAGGTTTTGTGGCTTTTTAAGTTTATGTGTGTGTGTGTGTTTTTTTTCTTTTTAGATGGCATTGAAATGGGAGCTCCAAACCAATAAAAAATGATGGGAAGTTTTAAGATATTTATAACAGTATTAAACAGGGGCAAATCTTTGAAAGCTGAAAAGTAACAAACCACATGCTCTAGGCTATGAGAATACAAGTATGAAAAAAACAAACACATGGACATGTCACAAGTAATAGTCTCAAAAGTTTCACAAAAATTTATACAAGAATAAGTCTGCCTTCTGATTTAACACAATGACATGTAAATAAAGCTTTTGATAGGATTTATAAAATTATTCCCCTCTTGATTCGAATTAAAGAACACAAATTTGAAAAGTGTCATTCGTAATTTAAGACTATTGTTTGATAAGAACTAAATGTATAAGATCAATACAACAAACTTGTTAAGTTGCCACAGTTTATCTTTAGTCTCCAACCAAAAACTAATGCTTAAAAATTTTTGGTTTGAGAATGTGGTATGGGAACAGGCCACATCAAGGCTATTTCATAATTATTTCTGGAAAAAGAAAAAGGATTTTTTTTCCAGTTTAAACTATTAATGGTAAACAAAAGGGCCGGGGTGCGGTGGCTTACGCCTGTAATCCCAGCACTTTGGGAGGCCGAGGTGGGCAGATCACAAGGTCAGGAGATAGAGACCATCCTGGATAACACGGTGAAATCCCTTCTCTACTAAAAATACAAAAAATTAGCCAGGCGTGGTGGCGGGCACCTGTAGTCCCAACTACTCAGAAGGCTGAGGCAGGAGAATGGCGTGAACCCAGGAGGCAGAGCTTGCAGTGAGCCAAGATTGTGCCACTGCACTCCAGCCTGGGCAACAGAGCGAGACTCCGTCTCAAAAAAAAAAAAAACAAAAAAGGCAAACAAAAACAGGTTTTATTATACCTACATCAAAATTACCCAGAAATGAAAATAAAAGCAGTAACAGTAGTAAACGTACTGATTGTTTTCCCATGTGCCAGAAACTATTTCAGATTTACTTACTCTTGCTGATTATCTTGACCTTCTCATCTCTTTCTGTTGCTAATAAATACTGTAGCCCATGACAAAAATTAAATTTTATTTTTATATAACAGTGTAAAAATAGAGTATTGGTTAACGAATGTTTTATTTATAGCCTAATTATTTTAAACTCCAACATACAAATAGATGAAAATAAGGGTTTTACATGTATAAATCTAGGCAGGTGGTCTTACATAGTTAATAAAAATATGGGCTCTAGAGTCAGGTTGCCAGAATTCAAATCGATTTTACTGTTGACTAGGTTTTTAACCCCAGAAAAATTATTCTACTTATTTAACCTCATGTCTCTCATCTATAAAATGGAAATAAATATTATTCCTGCCTTATAAGATAATCATGAGAATTGAAAGAACTCTATGTAAAGCACTTTGGACACAGTAAGTACTCAATAAGATTTATCATTCTAGGATTATTAGCACAAGTATGACCACATGCTTCTGCAACATTTATGGACTCAACAGGGAAGAAGGAAGTGAATATCCTAGACACCTCCACTTGTACCCAATTCTGATTTTCTTCCTATACATAAACACGCACAAACACATTCTCTGGTAGAAGTGTTACTCATTGTGTACAGGTGGTGCAATGCGATCTGTGTCCTCCCAAAATTCGTATGTTGAAGCCATAACCTTCAATGAGATGGAGCCCTTGGGACATAATTGGGTTTAAATGAGGTCACGAGGATGAGACCCTCATGATGGGATTAGTTCCTTTATTAAGAAGGGACCTCAGAAAGCTTACTTTCCCCTCTTCCTCCCTCTCTCTTTCTCTTTCTCTCTGCCGTGTGAGGACACAGTGAGAAAGTGGCTACCTATAAGGCAGGAAGAGAGTCCTCACCAGAACCTGACAATGGTGGACATGCAGCCTCCAGAAATGTGAGAAAATAAATTTCTGTTGTTTAAGCCATCAGTCTATGGTATTTTGTTATGGCACTCCGAGCTAACTAATACAGATGGGTCTACTTGTATTTTCAATATTTAAATACATGAGAAATAACAATTCAAGGCATTTATTTTGCAAAGTTCATCAACATTTATTTTTCAAAGACTGCGGCATGTCAGAGTAAGCCATGGTCAGGCAGACATTATACTCCTGCTTACAATGTAATTTATTTTTAAGAGCACAATAGTAAGTAAGGTTCGTTACTTTTCAAAGAGCTACTTTAAACAGTTCTAGTTAAGTCAATGTCAGACAGATATTACATTCATGCCTACAATATGTTTAAGTCATAAGGATTCTTACCTTTTATATCTGCCTGAAACTGTTCTAGGTGGCTCCTGTAAAGTAAAAATAATTACGTATCAGTTTGAGTATGTATGTACACAATTAATGATTATATAAAATAGTTGATAGAGAATATCTAAATTTTTTTCTGAGACGGAGTCTTGCTCTGTCACCCAGGCTAGAGGGCAGTGGCGCGATCCTGGCTCACTGCAAGCTCCGCCTCCCAGGTTCATGCCATTCTCCTGCCTCAGCCTCCCGAGTACCTAGGACTACAGGCGCCCGCCACCACGCCAGGCTAATTTTTTGTATTTTTTTAATAGAGACGGGGTTTCACCGTGTTTGCCAGGATGGTCTCGATCTCCTGACCTCGTGATCCACCTGCCTCAGCCTCCCAAAGCGTTGAGATTACAGGCGTGAGCCACTGCACCCGGCCGAGAATATCTTAATTTTTAAAAGACCAACTTGAAGCAATTACTGGTTTAAAAAATTCACATATTGCTGCTCAAACAAAACAGGAGTCTACATCTGATTTTTCAGTCCAAATCAATCACTTTTTTAAAATGATGTTTTTAATAAAGAAGTATTTTTAAAGCTCAGAAAATGGACAAGGCTGGGGGCATCATTCATCACCCAGTCAGCTTAAATCCCTTTGAAAGTCAAGGGGCATTAAAAAGTACCACTATTATATTCTTTTTTTTTTTTTTTTTTGAGACGGAGTTTCGCTCTTGTTGCCCAGGCTGGAGTGCAATGGTGCAATCTTGGCTCACTGCAACCTCCGCCTTCTGGGTTCAAGCGATTCTCCTGCCTCAGTCTCCTGAGTAGCTGGGATTACAGGCATATGCCACCATGTCCAGCTAGTTTTGTATTTTTAGTAGAGACGGGGTTTCTCCATGTTGGTCAGGTTGGTCTCAAACTCCTGACCTCAGGTGATCCACCCACCTCAGCCTCCCAAAGTGCTGGGATTACAAGTGTGAGCCACCATGCCCGGCCTTACAGTCTTTATATATCTCCCTTTGTCTTTTTTATGCCATCATTTTTTCTAAAACTTATAACTCACCATATGCATATAGTAATCAGTTCCTATTTTTAAAGACTATATATACAGCTAAAAATGAAAAGTGAAAAAGTACATTTTAATATTGTGCTGATTCTAAGCTACTAAAAAAAAGATTGCTGAAAGTTAACATTAACCATTGGGGTAGAAAAATTGTTACCTTGCAAATAACTAGGCAGTCATTTCTCTGTTCAATCTTTTGACAGTCTAGGTTCTCCAAATACTTCTGCAGTTTCACTTTAATGAAACAGGTCAAAATCAAATGATGTCTTTAAAAATTGTTAACTTTTTTCCTAATTAATCATTAAGTTGCCAAGAGAAATCCTACAATTAAAGAAGTTCTCATCCAGTTAAAGCAAAAGAATACCTTTATAAGATAACCAGTTCCAGAGTAAAAGAGTAAATACTGACTGCATGATGCAATAAAAGACTAGCAATGTGGGGAACCAGTACAGCAAACCATATGATTAAGAGGAAGGATCAGATCAAATTTCCAAGCAGACAGGCTACTTAGCAGCTAGGAGACTATGGGTTTATCCTCTATCAGTGTCTACTTATCTCTAAAATGGAATAACAGTGCCTATTTTATTGGGTTGTTGTGGAGATAAAATGACATAAGTGAGTAAAATTAGCACAGTCCCTTCCAAATAGGCTTTCAATTTCAATTTGATAGCTAAAACCAACATAAAACTAACTGGGATAAGGAAAAATCTTAATTGAATTTTCCGCATGGAATTTGAGTAAGTCTGTCTTAATTATTCCAAGTCAATAAATTCCCATTACAGAAGCCTATATTACTTAGTTTAATATAATTTTTGTCCCAATTTTTCATGTATATATCTTATATTCTAAGTAAAATGTAAGTGTCTGGCAGATAGGGACCCTCGACCAGCAATTCCTTTCTTTCTCCCCCAAAACCCCAGTTCGCCTAGTATGCAATAAATATATACTGACAACTTAGGGAAATAACTTCCTTGGTAATCTACAGTTACAAAAAAGTACCACTTGGGAAATAATCAGCAGCAGGAAATAACCAGGTGACAAGATACTCCAGTGACTACGTACATGGGTTTGACCCCACAAACAGACTTAGGGCTGGGGAAGTCATGCCTTGACAGTTGATACAAAGACACTTTAACCATCCCTGAGCATCAGTTGTTCTTACAGCAGGACAACAACAAAACCTGGCAAGCAGACTTTAAAGAGTTTCTTATCTGCCTGTCATTAAGCAGATACCCACTAATCTGTACTTTTGATTAAGCAGATACCCACTAATCTGTAATTTTGTACCAAACACGTAAAACAGATCCCCTATTTATTTAGATGGCTATTTAAATAAAGTAGAAAGAAATATTAAGCTTATGTATACTCACTCAAAGTATACCTTATTAAATGTGAGTGATAATGATTCATACAGAATTTTTTCCAGCTGGGCGCAGTGGCTCATACCTGTAATCCTAGCACTTTGGGAGGCCAAGGGGAGTGGATCACTTGAGCCCAGAAGGTCAAAACCAGCCTAGGCAACATGGCGAAACTCTGTCTCTACATAAAATACAAAAATTAGCTGGGTGAAGTGGCATGCACCTGTAGTCCCAGCTACTTGGGAGGCTGAAGTGGGTGGACTGCTTGAACTCAGGAGGCACAGGTGGCAGTGAGCTGAGATCACACTACTATATTCCAGCCTGTGCAACAGAGCAAGACCACGTCTCAAAAAAAAAAGTTTTTCCCCTGCTAGTTTCACAAACAGTATTTGGATTAACATTTTACAAACAGCTTCTTTTATTAAATTCCCTGATATTACCCTATATGAACTAAACTAAGGCATATGATGTCTGTCTATACATGCATGAGAAAAAATGCCAGAATTTCCAAAATAAAGTTCTGAAACAACACAAATCATTTCTCTCACATCTCTCGCATTTGGGTTATATTTGAAATATCTCAGAACATGCCACATCAGCTTGATTGCCCAGACTGCCTTTTACTGAAATGGAGTCAGCAAAATTGCTAAATGAGAACAACCCTTACTAGATTTATTCATGTGTGGGTTACTGGTATATCAACTGAAATGGTACAAATAACTTGACAACAAACACTAATTTTTTTTTTTTTTGAGATGGAGTCTCGCTCAGTCGCCTAGGCTGGAGTGCAGTGGCGTGATCTTGGCTCACTGCAAGTTCCACCTTCTGGGTTCATGCCATTCTCCTGCCTCAGCCTCCTGAGTAGCTGGGACTACAGGCGCCCGCCACCACGCCTGGCTAATTTTTTGTACTTTTAGTAGATACAGGGTTTCACCATTCACAGGATGGTCTCAATCTCCTGACCTTGTGCTCCGCCCACCTCAGCCTCCCAAAGTGCTGGGATTACAGGCGTGAGCCACCACGCCCGGGCCAACAAACACTATTTCTGAGGCTTGAAACAGACATTTTCTGTAATATGGTAAAACTTAGAGTAATAGATATGTAGAGTAGAATTTTAACAAAAACAGAAATGTAAAATGGAGGGCATTTTCAGCAACTCTAAATTGCAGTGGCATTATAGTAATTTCACACTTTGATCCAATTATAAATGACTTAAAAGTCAGTATCAGACAAGTTTTGAGTTAAGTATGCTAACCAGAAGTCATGTAAAAATATCAGATTTCTACGTGTATCTACAGTTGTTTGGGTTTTTTTTAAAAAAAAAAACAGTCACTTAAAACATACCTCAGTAAGTAAGTTTTACACAGTATTTTCCACACTGCTAGCTTGATGCAGTTGATAAAATTAGAACTTCCACATACTAGGTTGGTGCAAAAGTAACTGCGGTTTTGTCATTACAGTCATTCCATACTCAAGTCTGAGATAAACAAATAATCAAAATTTAAGCTATACTTATTTCTGGTATATGGCTAGTATTTCAATAGTTAAGATTTTGAAGCACACAGACAACACTTAAGTTTATTCCTTATTGGTGGATTTGAATATGGTCTTTTATTAGAGATTATACATTTTGAAGCTAAATGTTATTTTATAATGATTCTTGTAATCAAAGTATAAACTTTAGGCAGGGCGCAGTGGCTCAAGCCTATAATCCCAGCACTTTGGGAGGCCAATGCAGGCAGATCACCTAAGGTCTGGAATTGAAAACCAGCCTGGCCAACATGGTGAAACCCTGTCTCTACTAAAAATACAACAATTAGCCGGGCGTGGAGGTAAGTGCCTGTAATCACAGCTACTTGGGAGGCTGAGACAGGAGAATCACTTGAACCAAGGAGGCAGAGGTTGCAGTGAGCCGATATCGTGCCACTGCACTCCAGACTCCATCTCAAAAAACAACAACAACAAAAAACTTTTAAAAGTAAAATGTTTCCCACACTGGATAGATTATATCAGTATGATTAGAGACTGGGAGGGGCGGTAGCCTTCTCATGCATGTTAAAAATGGGCAATTAAAGGTGGAGTTTAAAGTGATTTCCATATCCTGGCCAAAAAAAGAAAACTGGGCATATCTTAAATTAGAAATGTTAGAGAGAGAAAAAAAATTAACCTATATGGTGCAGTGAAAGAATCCCTTATAATTTTTTAGCTTTATTTTTAATTGACAAATAATAATTATATATATGTATAAGATTCAAAGTGATATTTTTATTTCAATACATGTATATATTTTGGAAGGATCAAATTACAGTAATTAGCATGTCCGTCTGATATTTTTCGATGTCCCCTCCAAATCTCATGTTGAAATATAATCTCCAGTGTTGGAGGTGGGGCCTGTTGGAAGGTGACTGGATCATGGGACTGGATTTCTCATGAATGGTTTAGCACCAATGAGATCTGGTTAAGAGTATGGGACCTGCCCCCTCTCTCTCTTGCTCCTGCTCCTATCATGTGATGTGCCTGCTTCCACTTTGCCTTCAGTCATGAGTAGCTCCCTGAGGGCCTCATGAGAAGCTGAGAAGATGTTGGTGCCATGCTTGTACAGCCTGTAGAACCTGTGAGGCAATTAAACCTCTTTTTCTTATAAATTACCCAATCTCAGGCATCTCTTTATAGCAATGCAAAGAACGGCCTATACAGGTGACTTCAAATACGCATCACCTTCAAATACGCATCACGTGACCGCGCCCAGGTGCAAGGTTCAAGTAATTCTTGCGCCTCAGCCTCTTGAGTAGCTGGGATTACAGGTGAACACCACCATGCTCAGCTAATTGTTGTATTTTTAGTAGAGACGGGGTTTTGCCATGTTGGCCAGGCTGGTCTTGAACTTCTGGCATCAAGTGATCCACCCACTTCGGCCTCCCAGAGTGCTGGGATTACAGGCATGAGCCATTGCACCAGGCCCTTATCACTTCTTTCTGGTGAGAACATTTAAAATACTCAGCTATTTTGAAATATACATTATTATGAACTATAATCACCTTGCTGTGCAATAAAACAAATTATTCCTTCTATCTAACTGTAACTTCGCACCCTGGCCAATGTTTCTCCTTTCTCCATCTACCTTAGCCTCTGGTAATCACCATTCTACTCTCTATTTCTATGAGTTTGACTGTTTTGGATTCCACATATAAGTGAGATCACTGCGACAAAATGGATGAAGGCAGCGGACATTATGTTCACTGAAGTCCCTAATAATTTTAAAGAGGAAAATGCTTAACATTCTTACATGTTAGAACAAAATTCCACACAAATATAAATGTTACCTTAGATGTCTTAACTATATTTCTGTAGCCACAAAAATTTCTAGGCAAAGAAACAACTACATAATTTTTGGTACTTTAATAATTACTACTCCATACTAAATAGGGACAAAAAATGAAGAAATACAGTAGTCCTTTTCCCTTTATCCAAGTTTTCACTTTCTACAGTTTCAGTTACCCATGGTCAACCCGTGGGCATTAATAAAATTAAATTTTTAATATTGTATTATTTAATAATTTTAATTAATAAATTTAATTATTTAAATTATAACTTAATTAAAATATTGAATGCAAAACTCAAAAAATAAAAAATTCATAAACTTTAAACTGTGAGTTGTCCTGACTAGCATGATGAAAATTGGTGCTGTCCTGCTCCATCTTGCCCAGGGCCTAACGCTTTGTAAAACGTATCCACAGTGTCTATGCTCCCTACCTATTGGTCATTTGGGAGCCGCCCTGGCTATCAGACTAACTGTTGTGGTATCCCAGTGACTGTGTTCAATTAACTTTTCTTTTATTTAGTAATTGTCCCAAAGTACAAGAGTAGTGATGCTAGCAATTCTGATATGCCAAAGAGAAGCTATAAAGTGCTTCCCTTAAATGAAAAGGTAAAAATTCTCAACTTAATAATGAAAGAAAAATCATACCCTGAAGTTGCTAAGATTTATGATAAGAACAAATCTTCTATCCATGAAATAAAAGGAAGGAAAAACAAATCTGTGCATAGTATAAATAGCGTTCAGTACTATCTATATTTCAGGCATCCATTGGAGGTCTTGGAAGAGAACTCCCTTTGATAAGGGGAGACTGCTATACTAGTATCACTGAAACTGCTTGTAAAAAGTACAACTGTTAAGACTGGTACTGGTCTTAAAAGTTTCAAAGACTATGTAATTAGATCTCCCAAAAATCCTTAAGTTTGTTATACAACTGATCTCAAATATACTTGTTCTGAAATAATCTTCCCTGCAATGGGATGGTTTCTATTACTAAAGGGAAGGGGAAAGATCTATGTAGAACTGAGAAAATGTTGGCAAAGCACAAACTATTTTGTGTGAATTTAAATAAAACACTCTGCTTTATTCAAGCTTATAATGATCAATAAGGAAATCCCCATGAACAGAGTCTGCAGTGGCAGATCAGAACTTCCAACGTATAAACAAGTATAAAAGCATAGGTGAAATAATCAGACAAATACGAGCCCAGATGAATACAGCAAAGTAATACTGATGTTATTCAAATAATCCAGCAACAAAGCCACAGCCCTCAGTAAAATTATGGCATAACATGCTAACTGACCCTCAGAACTAACTTAAAATATCTATATTGGCATGTATAATTTAGTATGATATACTGCTGAAGATGACTGCAGAATAAAATTTCTCTAATGTATAACTGATAAAATGAAAAATAAGAGCTTTATCAAATTAATGAAGATTTTAAAAGGAAAAACTCATCCTTCCCCTTCCTTTCCTGAACAATTAAGTCCTAAAGCCATTAGGCAGGGCAGAGCAACGTGAGGAAACACAATGGCTCAGACCAGGGTATCAGAATACGAGAATCTGCCAGAAAGAAGAGCTGCCTGGCATAGAGAATTCAAGTCCGAGCAAACTAAGGAGATTGCCCACATAGCAGAGCTCACTCACTCTGACCTAAGATATCAGAGCCGGAGCAGAATGAGAAAGATTTCTACAAAGCAGGGAAGGGAAGCCCTCATTCGTGAGGCAAGGTCATAAAGGGAGTCTCATAAAGGGGTAGCCAGAGTCCCAGGTGGAATGTGAAGTTTACCTTCTCAAGAGGGTGGTTCAGAAAAGGGTGATAAGAGCTCTAGCACAGTAAAAAATATCTACCATCTCAAAGGCAGCCTGGCATGGGGTATTCTGTGCCAGAGCCCAGGCAAGATGAAGTGAATGTCCACATGGAGTGGCAGTCTGGCCTGGAGTTGCCAAAACCTAATCAAGTTGAGGAAGAGTCCCCATGGAGGAGCAATCCGACAAGAGTTCTCCGAGTCTCAGCAGGAGTAAAGAGAGGCCCTACAGAACAGCCTGTCAAAGGATGCCCAAGCCAGAAAAGGGTGAAGAGAGTGTTCATGCTTAAGGTGAGCCCAACATGTGATGTCAGAACCTGCTTGTGATAAAGAAGGCATAAGTAGGAGGAAAGAAAGCAATGGGAGATATGTTACTACATACAACTCAAGAAGCATATTTGAAAAATTGCCATTAAAATATATAGTGACTTCCTGGTATTTTTAAATACTCACCTGTAGCAGATAGGAACTGCCTGGATCTAGTAAGTTTACAGCTTCATTCTGCATAGTGTTCTGTTGTGTAATTGCATCTTCTCGTTTTCGCTCTTTCTGCCCTGCTTCATCATCTTCGTACTCATCTAAGCACTGAAAAAAAAAAGTTTCCATTTTATTTCTACTATTAATAGACTGTTTTGATAGTACGTGAAAATACATTTTTATAGCATTAAAGAAATATTTGTGCATTCAGAAATTAGTTTGCACAATAAAAGTTTTTCTTTCAGCAATATGTACATTTAATTCCTATAAATTATCTGCTTAAAACTTATAGTTCCATAGCCACACTACTGCCAACAAATCTCTTCCCTGAACTTCAACCACCAGTGACAGGGTTTTCTTAAAGAAAGGTTCATTCATTCTTTTTCATTCATTCAATAAGTAACCTACGTCTACCTTGAGGCATTCTGCAGAAGGTAACAAAGGATACACTAAAGAAATGGAATTTATAATCTAGTAGAAAAGATAATACATATATAGATAGATAACTTAGGATAAAGGCCCGTTTTCTAGCTTTATATTCTATGAGCATATAAAGGAAGAGTATTTTTACCTGGAGAGTTACAAAAGACTATAAAAAACCTTGTAATTTAAAGAAGGGTTACAATTTAAATGGTTTTTAATGGAATTGCAGATATATATAAAAAAGAATTACACGCTATTGTAATTCTTTTTTACAATAAATTGTAAGCTATTGAAAAAGCTTACAAGAGAGGGTTGCTAAAAAACAGAATCAACACCAGAAATTATCTAACTCTACACTTTCTACATAAAAAAAAAAAAAGAAACAAATCTCTATCCATTATACACACTATGGGCTGGGTTATCCGCTCCTTGCAACTGAATACATTCCTAACCAATACACTGCCCTAAAGGCTTCTGTGTGAGAACCCACGACCCCTCTCCAACAAACAACAAAAAGAAAACCTCTCTGTAGAGACACCAAGGAACTGACCACAGCAAAGTATAACAGTATGGCAGTGAAGACAATAGCAATCAGACAAAAAAAAAAAAAAAAAAAAAAAAAGGCTATGCAGAGAGAAGAAAACACTGAAGCTACTGTGCAAATCAAGAAGGTACACTGGAATATTTGGAGATAGGAGGAACATATTGAAAGGGGTACCAAGCTTGATAAAGACAAGGTCTACAATGGAGGACATGGAAGAAAGCATCTGTCTGAGATGGAGTCTTACAACATTAGGATGATACAGAGAAGAAGTCTGAGGACAGAAATGGAAAGGGCAAATGAAAGGAGCAAGCAGGTTGAGATTCAGAGTTCTCCTGAAATGCAACAGACTGCTTATACGGTGTCACCTGGCCCTTGTCATATCAACCTGCCAAGAGTGGGGCTTGGGGAAACAACACAAAAAAATTATGATACTGCAGCTACTGTTATTGCTATGAGTCTAAACTGTTCTTGACTCTAACTAACCCAGGAGACTAGTGTCTTTTGCCAGAATACACAAGCTAACATGTTAGCCAGCAAGCGGGGTATGATCTCAAAGCCTCAGTTTTTGACAGAGGTGAGGATTCGAAAGGCACAGAGGGAACATAAATCATAGATAACCCAAGAAGTTTAGACTTCTCATTCCATAGCTTGGAATGATATTACAATACTACACAATTCCTTGGGATAAGAGCAAAATGATCAAAATTCTTTTTGGGAAGAACCTGAGTATAGCAATGCAGAGAACAGGAACAGGAATAAAAGTGAAAAGACTAGTTAAGTGACAAGTTAAATGGCATAGGCAATTTTTATCCCATGAAAAATGATATATCCTAAGTGGAAACAGAGTCAGTGAAAGAAATCTGGTATGGGACACCAAAGTGTTAAGAAATTAGTCTTCATTAGAAAAAAAATCTCTCTTAAGACTTTCAAAAACCTTCTCAAATCACTAGACAATATCTTGTTTAATGACAACATACCAGCAAAATTTAAAAGTAAAATCAGACTCAAAGCATTGATGTCCACTATCAACATTAACTGTTATCATTATTCTGAAAGTGCTAGTTGATAAAATTAGATAAGAATAGACAATTTTAACATCAGAAAGGAGGCAAAATTACCGTCATTTTAGAGGAAATGATATTGTAAAAAACAAAAACATTTTAGAATTATGAGTTAAGATTTTTTTTCAGTAAATAAGCAAAAAATTTCCTAAAGTAACATCAATAGCCAGTTAAAAAATTTTTAGTAACAACCATAAATAAACTAAAAAATAGTATGTGTATGAAGAAAGCTGTAAGACTTTACTGAGGAATACAAATTAAAACCTACACTTAAATTAAGAAAAACCTAGTATTGTGAAGGTGTCAATAGTCTCTTAACTCATAAATTAAAACTCCAATCAAAATCATGAAGAAATTTATTTGGAAAGTAGGGGTGCATCATCCAGAAGAAAAAATACGTATCAAAAAATTTACTTTTCTAAAAAAGAGGTATGAAACCACACACTCTAGTTAACTTTAAAATGTATAAAAATACCTCATAGACGTCCTAGAACAGAAATAATAAAATAGCATAAAAGGCATTTTAAATCAAGGTGTTCCTTAAAAAAGGGGGGAGGTCATTTAATGAATAGTAGGAGAAGCAAAAGTATGAAATCTGGAAAAGAATAAAGAATGGTCTCATCTAGTCTTCTATTCTGTGAAAGAAATCATCACTCATTCTCCAGCACATGGACTCAAAAATCTCTCACCATAGGCTCCAACTTGATAAATTATCATAGATTAATATAAACAGAAAGCAAAAGTTGAGGCAGGTAGCCATGAACTCCCAGAGCACTAGGATGCTATTTTATTTATCTCTGTTTTCATTTTCTGAGACCCAGCCCCACAACACTAACTTTCCCTCCTCTTGTCCCCTCAACAATCTAGACTCCCTTACCGGCACATGAAAAGAAAAAAGAAAGGAAAAAACAAAATACTCAGTAAATGTTTCATAAAATGAATGAGTTACCAAGATGAGACAAATAATCTTGGAGATAAACTGGGAGGTGAACTGTGATACCCGAAGTTAAAATTCTGAATGCTCTTTCCCATAGCAACACTATTATCCACTGAACTGGGAACCTATTCATCACACATAGTATCCCTATGGATACAGTATGTATCTAACATTCCAGGCAGCTTTTAGTATAGGGATTACTTGATGAATCACAACTTCCCTCCAAAATTCTGCTAGCAACCAGTACAGTTCTTTTAATGACAAGCATCCTACAAATTCTTAAGCAATCTTTTCTAACTGGAATAAATACATCTGGAGGAAGAAGTTGGTGGAAATCATGAGAAATAAGAGAATTCCTGTATCTGCCATACTTAAGAGCAGAAGTGGATTCTCCTCATTCCTTTCTTCAGCTGCACAATAATTTTATTAAGTAGACATACCTACCATATTTTAATCAGAGCTTTATTGATGAACATAATACCCCTCATATTGGAGGCTAGAGTTTCAACATAAGAATTTGAGAGAGACAAAACTTAGTCCATTAATAACATAATAGCTGATCTTATTGGAACCAAAAATAAAACACTTGGAACCTGGAATGCAAAACATCGTTTCTGTTACAGCAAGCTACTGTTGAGGTAACAGTCTTCAATACAAAGTCATTTTTACATTAGGATCAACAACTCAAAAAACAAAACCATACCAGCTCTTCATGAGACTAAAGTTAATTACTATAATAGAAATTTTTTTTTTAATTGTTTAAGGCTTAAGACAGTGTCCTTATTTTTGGTTCCTGCTACATTCTTACATAACAATCAATTCATATTTTGTATTACAAAGGCAACTCTTGCTTTCAGGTAATTTTTGCACACTATTTTCTATACTATGTGACAAGAACCACTGTTTATCTTTGACTCACTAGTGCCTTCAATGTGTGTGGCATATAGTAGCTACTTAAATATCAGAGGGAGGAAAGAAAAGAAGAAGGAAACTAAGTTAGATACTTATCAATTTATATAGTACCCTTAACTTTCATTTGCTTTAGTTTGACACCCTGCCGATTATATGAATCAAAATACTTAATATTCAAAGAAGTAATGAAAATACACATAACAAATTTAAGGTACAACACAAACTTCTTATCACAGAGTATAAAAGTAGAAACCAAGAAAATCTTCAACGTCCAGGTATCCCCTGCCGTGAATGAGCATTTAAATGCTAATTGAAAGTACAAAGACAGCACTTGAAAGACATTTCAAAGCCTATATAAAATTGCCAAAACGTCCACTAGTAGAGTTTTTGAAACTAGCTAATTCTGATGTTTCAACAAGAAATTTTTACAAAAATTCCTCCCCCACCAAAAGCACAGCATTTACATACGAAACCTACTCTAAATCCTAGATAATCAGAAATCATCCACTGAACAGTCAGCTCATTTGGAGTTTATTTATATTCGTGGCTCTAATCTACAAAGGGAAAAGTAAAAGCAGAGTAAGCTAGAGCTATGTGAAAAGAGATACTCAAACATTTACCTGCTATTTTTCAGTTGTCAGGGAATACCAAAATTTTACATAGCAAAAATAAAACAATATGTAAATGTTTGGTTAGAATGTTAACAATATAAAAAATATTTCACTGACATTTGACTAAATAATTACTACGTGAACAAACATGAATTTTGGTCTACTATGTGTCATGCTGCTCTATAAATTCACACAAGTTAGTATGAAGCAAATGGTAAGACAATAACACTATTGATTCAGATGTGTCAAATCAAACATTAACATACAACAGTTGTTTAGAAGGAAAAACATTCCTTCAGTATAAATGTGCTTATTATGTGGTTCCTCTTCTTTGTAACTGAAATTTTAGATTTGTTTAAATTGCCAAAACCCCGTATCATTGGGTTTTGCTTTACTTTAAAGGACCCAGAGTTCTTGATTTCATCTCGTAAGGACAGACCAAAACTTTTATAAGAAAGAGAGAAAACAAAATGTCTACATAAAACAAGTTAATTTTGTCTCAGTTTTGACATTTACTGAAAAATGCTCTTGTGCAGCGTAAGCCTTTTAAAGAATGATAATCATATGCCTTTCTCATTACATAGTTTGGATCAAATTATATGCCTAACAATTACAACCAT